TCTCTCTCTCTCTCTCTCTCTCTCTCTCTCTCTCTCTCTCTCTCTCTCTCTCTCTTTCTTTCTTTCTTTCCATACACGGTCAGGAAATCAAGAGGCATATTACATTGGGCAAGTTTGTAATCAGGGACCTCTCCAAAACACTGAATAGCAATGATGCAATTTGAAGACCAAGGTGCACCTGATTAAGGCCATAATCTTCTCAATCACTTACTATATGCATCAGAGAGCTGGACATTGAATGACAGAAGAAGAATTGATGACTTTGAGTTGTGGTGCTGGGAAAGAGTACTGAATATTCCATGGACTTCCAGAACACCAACAGATATCTCCTAGGAGGGGTGGGGCCAAAGTGTTCCTTGGAGGCAGGATGACAAAGCTTCATCTTTCATACTTTGTACATTTACCTAGGCAAGGATATTCTTTGGGAAGGGACATCATGCTTGGAAAGATGAAGGACTAGAAAAAGGAGAGGAAGAGCCCCAAAAGAGGAATTAACACTGTGACTTCAGCAATGGCCTCTAGTATCTGAAAAATTATGAGAATGGCGGTTCATAGAGTCGCTATGAGTCATACTCAACTGGACAGCACCTAACAACAACCAACTTTCAAAATCCTGGCTTTGTCTTTGGTAGATGGGAAGAAGGAAACTCTGGTGACATAGTCCATAGAGTGTTGTGCTGCTAATCCAAAATCTGGGCCTCTCTGGCAGTTCAAAGCCACCAGTAGCTCCAAAGAAGAAAGATGGGCAATCTCCTCCTGTGCAACTTATAGCCTCGACGACAACAATGAGAGAGATTCATACATAATTATAGTTGCACAATAACTAAGTGTGTGGCTGCTAACCTGAAAATTGGCAGTTAGAATCTACTATGGAAAAATGATGTGACAATCAGCTTCCATAATGATTTATAGCCCTGGAAATTTTATGAGACTACTATGCCCTATTAGGTTGTTGTGAGTCGTAATGAACTCAACAGCAATAAATTGTTTGTTTAGTTGTCTTGACACAGTGATTGGAGCCTCTGGATAATATGAATGGTAAAGCGCATGACTGCCAGCCAAACGGCGGCCAGTTCAAGCCCACACAGAAGTGCCTTGGACAGCAGGTCTCATGATCTGCTTCCAAACATTCATAGCCCTAGAAACTCTACTCAGCACTGTTCTACTTTGCTTATGTAGATGTGAGGTTTGTCCCAACCTACTCCACAGCAACTAGTGAATTGTTGCTGTGTACTATCGAGTCAGATCAACCCACAGCTGGCCCTTCCAGGGGTTTTCAGAGGCACTTAATCACTTGGGAGGAGATTGTCCATCCTTCTCCCGTGGAGCAGCTGGTGGACTCAAACTGTGTGCCTTAGATTGAGTCTTTCTGGTTGGTGCAAATTGTAAATGAACTTGACTCCTCAGCAAAAGGGTTGTGGTTCGAATGCACCAAGGTACCTGAGAAGAAAATCTGGCAATCTACTTCCTATGAGTTAACAACTGTCGAGAACCCCACTGGGGGTCCCCATGAGCCAGAGTAGACTCAAAGCAAGTGATAGTGAAAGGGTGCCGACATCAGATTTGTCTGGACCCTTCCCGGAGAACTGGCTGTGACTTTGGGTAAATTGCTTTGCATTTGTAATCAGTTTTCTTATCTACATAAAAATCCAAACTTGTTGCCATCAATTCGGAACTGACTCATAGCTGAACCTCCATTGGGTTTCTGGGCTGTAAATCATGCAGATGGAGATTATCATCTTTCTCTTTAGGAGACGCTGGGGGATTCAAGTTGTCAGAGAGGTGTGGCCTTTGCATTAGCAGTGCCACTCCCTATGGACTGGGTCAAAGGGAAGAACAATTACGTGAAATAATATGTGAACAGTGCTTAGGACAATGTGTGGCATATGTTAAGGGCCCAGCAAATATTGTTTTAATTTTTTTATTGTTATTACTATTATATGGTTTTTATTAGTGAGCCTTATGATTTCACCTATGTTCTTTAAAAAATCTCATGTAAAATATTCTCAACATTTAAAAAACCCATTTTGCCATATAGGGTGAAAGAAAATTATCATATTCTAAAATGAACATACCTCCAAGAACATTAACTCAATTAATTCTGGGCTCATGGAATCCATTTGATTTAACTAAATTTCCAAATTCACTGCTATCAGGTTGGTTTTGACTCACCGAGGTCCAGCATTGGATCTCCAAAGCTACAGGATGAAATTGCTCATATATCTCCTGAGCAATTGGTGGATTCAAACTGCTAACCTCTCAATTAGCAGCCAAATAAATTACACACAATTCCATCATGGCTTTTACTATACACCATAGCTTAGACCCTGTGGGATGGTTATAAATGAGTATATATATGCATAAATACTGAAGTCTTGTTTTAACTTTTTAGAATTTATATATTAGTATCTTTGATTGTTGCTTTTGTAGTCCTGAGTATATGGAGAAAGATATCTTAAATTTTATTTTGCCATAATTCCTCTCCAAGTGCATCAGTAAGCTTTATTTCAGTGGTTTAAAAACAATTCTTTTTCATTTTAAATGATACTTTTTGGTAGTCATTTTTGTTTCTTTTAAGAATTCCTTGTATGGTCTTGAAGCTGAAGTTTGCAGATTATATGGACTTAATTCAGATAAAGAAATGTAAGAATGAATATGTTGTTGTTGTTATGTGCCATCGAGTCGTTTGCGACTCATAGCGACTCTATGTACAAGAGCTCTAAACGCCGTTCTATCCTGTGCCAGCCTAGCCATCTCAAACGCACTCATTCCCACCACTCCAATCACAGAATCGATCCATCTCATCAAGGGTCTTCCTCTCCTGCGCCATCCCTCCACTCTCCCAAACATGATGTCCCTCTCCAAGAACCAGTCCCTCCTTGCAACATGCCCAAAGTATGTCAGACAAAGCCTCAGAATCCTTGACTCATAGGAGCATTCTGGTTTCACCTTCTCCAGAACAAACCTGTTTGTTCTCCTAGCAGTCCATGATATATTCAACACTCTTCTCCAGCACCATAGCTCAAAGGCATAACTTCTCTTTCTATCAGCCCTATTCACTGTCCAACTGTCTGATGCATAGCATGTAATTGCGAAGACTATAGCCCAGATCAGGGGCACCTTAATCTCCATCCTGACTCCGTTGCTCTTCAGTACTCTTGAGAGGTCCCTCACAGCTGACTTTCCCAAAGCAATTTGCCTCTTGATTTCCTGGCTGCTGTTACCAAGAGTGCTGGTTGTAGGAATCCCAATATTTAAAAAGAAACAAACGTAAGAAAGACCTTTGTTGTGCGTATCTTCCGTTTCCATTCCCTACACTAGTGCTGGCCTGGGTACTGACTAGGACATCAGAGTGCCTTCCTTCCTGAAGGATCAGTGAATAATCTCACCTCAACCTCACCAAACCAGCTACAGGACGCAGCTTGTCCATACACCTTTAGGAATTTAGCAAGCATTAGTAATTCTTCACTCTAATATTATTAATTCTAGCTATATTTTTAATAACTTGTTAACTCCTTTTTAAAAATATTAAGGATGAAAGTTTACAGAATAAATGTGTTTCCCATAAAACAATTTATCCACATTTTCTTTTTTTATTATTATTACTATTAATTATTTTTAAAATGCAACATATATATTTTTATGGCATATTCTTTCCATTTAATTTTTCTTTTCCTCATTCATTCGTTGTTGCACATTTCCCTCCCTGCTCAGAATGGGTGGCCCTGGATGACATTAAGCTGAGTGAAATATCTCAGTCATGAAGGGCAAATGTTGCACATTTTGTTTCTCTTGTAACAGCACTCTCCCTACTTCTTCCCTGTTGTTGTGTATAGCATACAGTCGAAACCCACACATAGCTGACCACCCCAGTGAGCTTTCAGGGACAGTTAATCACATGAGAGGAGACTGCCCATCCTTCTCTGGTGGACCTGCTAGTCATCACGAACCATGTGCCTTCAGGATTGCAGTGCAGCTTCTTGCCACTGAGCCTCCTGAGCTCCCTACTTCCTCTCTTGATTCTCTATGATTGTCTATTGTTTGCCTAACAGATGATCTTTAGGAAGGGGTTTTGTTCCATGTCTGAAGTATGTCTAAGGGCCATAGTTACACCAGTCTCTCACAGACTATTAATTCTGGATTGTCTGCAGTTTAAATTTTTTCTACACTTTTCTCCAGCTCTGTCCAGGTCTTCTATTATGAACCCCCTCAGAGAGATTAGTAGTAGTAGTCAGGCACCATCTAGTGCTTATCTTAGGCTAGAAGCTTATTAACTCTCCAGTCTTTTCTCATGCTTTCATCATGTATTATGTGATGTTCTCAATGAGATTTTTAAGTAGGTGTGATACGTATTGTGTTCCAGATGAAAAAAGTGGGGCTTAGAGAGGCTCACAAACTG